TACATACTACCAAGCCTTGGCATAAACATGAATTATACTTTTGAGCAAATTAAAGTAGATCAAAGATGGACCATTAGGTTGATGACAGTAGATTAAACATGGGCAATGACCTTGAACCTGGTTTTCCTTAGGTGAAAGCCCGCCCATGGTTAAACAGTGATGCACTCACAAGCACTTCACTCACAAGCAAGCAAAGCACATTCTGAAAAATGTGTGGACAATAACACTGTGCACTTTTGGACAAAAAACTGTGGGTTGATTGGATGAGTGAATAAATGTGTGGGTGGGCTGTATGAAGAAGTGAATGTGTGGATGGTTGGTTGAACAGAGATGCATGAGAACTGCTGCTGGGATGGAAGGGCAAATGGTGGTGGAAAGGGCTGGATGGGTTACCATAAGTTCGATTGAGGGGCTCAATGAATGTTGCTCAATGATGCTATTTGGAAAACTGGTTGGACTTCAATTGAATGGGATGATTGGAATGTATGTATTGCAGTGAGTGATGTTTGGTTGGCGTTAAATATGTTGCTACCATGAAACGGGCCAGACTGAATTCAATCCGTGGTTGCTCCTAAGCTTGCCACAAGTGTGATTACCTCAGTGTGCCTTAGTGTGACCCTTAGCCCACACATATGCATTATTTCCTGCATGGCCGTGAGTTGGCTTAAGATGAATGAAGTGGACGTTTGAAGCCAAATGCATTCTGAAGCTATTTTTTGCCACAAACACTGAGGTTTGGAGAGCTCATTAATAACTAATCTTCAGCTTGCATACACAAAGAAATATGAACTGAGAGCATCAATGGGAAGCTTGGCAAATTGACAGGACAAAATGAATTGATGACTAGAAAAGTGTGAATGAAGCTCGAATCAAGGGTGCAATGAGGCAACGTGTGCCTGGTGATTGAGAAAGGAGTGTGTGGTGCTGAGGTGTGGCCAGGAAATCTTGAAGATAGAAAAATAATAGATGGGGTAGGCTTGGAAGGAAATGGCATGAGTTGCAATGGGTTGATGGAGTGAAAATCAATACCCAAACATTAAAAAACACCATGACAGTGGTTGACACCTAGTCCGTGTTCAACTTGACAACTGGTTTTGTGGGCGATGACCTTAGCATGCCTTAGTGTGAGCCTTAGTCCAGAGTCACGCACTCTTTCCTGACTGAACTTAGCCCTTTCCAAATTTGACTCTGAGAAGTGTGAGTGGTTGCAATGCAACTGAAGAAAAGAGAGTATATATATCCAGAGCTGGCACTTTGTTTATTTTTTATAATATATTATATATTGTTGAACTGAACAGTAGTTTTTTGATGGTATGTTCAAAGAAACTCCAAAGTCCTGGATATTCCCAAAGACCTTGGCTATAGAAAATATTTATCCAGCCTGGAAGTATGAGTCCTGCATATGTGCAAGGACTGAAACTAAGTGCTCCACTGGTGTTGCCCCTCCCCCCCAAAAAAAAGAAGCACCTGTTCGGTGCTACCCACCTATTCGGTGGAAAGTTAAAAAACATTGCCTTCTTGAAGTTGAAGATGTCTAGTTCCTTAGTGGCCTTAGTACTGCTTCATTCCTGACAGGGCCTGACAGACAGGTGCATCTCAAAACTGCTTCTGTTTACTTTCCAAATCAAACATATCAATACATTTACTCAAAGAAACTCACACAAAACAAGATCATGGATGTAACATGCCAAACTACATTTAACCTAATTTACAATGTCTACATTTGTTTTGCTCACAAAGAAGTTGCTACAACCTAGATCAGACAACCTAGATCAGTAAAAATATATATGCCAAACTCTCTGACTGATGACTTGGTCCAATTTGCCTAGTGTCCCCCCCGCTGTTTTGGCTTGACACCTCAAATTTACATTGCTGCAAAGAAACACCATCATGAAGCAACTCAGGGTGTTCAGGAACTCCACCATAAGTTACAGATATGTGGTTTAAGACTCATAACAAGAAAAAATGAAACTATCACAATCAAAGACCAAACTATCACAATCAATGATCATGGGTTATATAAAATCCATTATTAAACTCGTATCAAAAATGCAAAAAAGCTCCAGATCGAAGGGTCTTCCTTTTCCCCTACAAAACCTTCATTAGAATAGTGATTCTTCAGTAGACTAACAGCTAAAACTTTCGAAAGGTGATGTCGCTGTGCCATGCGGTGTTGCATGACCTCGGTGGCAAGTGCGTTTGCGTGAGTCCGTGCCATTGGGGGAAGGAAAGCCTGCTGGTGTAAGCGCGGCGTGTCATGGTGGATAGGCAGGGTGGACAGAGGTGGGCAGTTACGGTTGTTTTTGGAACCTAATATAAAAAAACTCCTCCAAAGTCGGCAATGTTGGTAGTTTAGTAGCGGCTTGAAAGGGCGGTAATTTAAAAACAAATATAAACCGTATTTCGGGGTTTCCGACATGACTTTTTTCTAAAAGGGGTCCGTTTTTAAATAGGTACTCGGGATTAATAACCGTTTGTTTGGTGCAGAATGACTAGACTGTGACTAGACACAGTGAATGTGAAGGACTGGCTTTCGGAAACATGGAAAGTCCCAATGTCTTGTGTGCAACGCCAAACGCGCCCACACACACACATGTCACTTGGATCATGGATCCCTCCAAGCACCTCAGAAGGTGCTTCATAGGGTTTCATGTTGGAGGCTTTGCTGTCAGATGACGGATGTTCGTTGCCTGGGCCGCCGGACTTACCGTCGCGGCCAGGCCGTTGTTCAGACTTGGCTGCGCGGACACGGAGAATGTTAGCAGGAAGCGGCCCGGGCCCAGAACGGGACTGGAAGGGAAAAACCAGAGGATCACTAAACACTGTGAGAATCGCCAATAATAATGAAGTCATGTCGAAGCCTTGGTTGCACTACAGCATTGCCATGGATTGCCAATTGCCTCAAAATGGGGCAGTGGTGAGGCAATAGCTCGTATACTCCCTATCAAAGACAGTGTGAGCTCCCCCCCCAAAAAAAGACCCAAACCCATGGCGTCAGAGCTTTTCCCACCCCGCAGAACCACCTGCTGCGCCGGTTTAGGCCCTGCGGTGGTTCCCAACGGATCGGCTCCCAGTGGAGCGGACATGGCCTCCGGCCCCAGCGAGCGGGGCGAGCGGGCACCGGCCCCACGGCCGCAAGCGGCGCGTCTACGAGCGAGCCCGTGGGGCGCCGCCAGTTGCGGGAACCGGGAGGGAGGGAGGGAGGGATCAACGGGAGAAGGGTCCCATGGGATGGTCTTTTGTCATAAGTAGTTACGTTGACATTATATCTCATTACTGATCATGCTACAGTATAAAGATGTATAAAGTAGTTTCGATACATATGGACGATGCAAACATTGCCACCGCATGCGATGACCGTTGTTCGCAAGACTTGTGGTCAATCACGTCTTTGGAGGAGATCCTTGATCTGGAACGGACATTTGGCCTTGAGTCCTCCCCCTCACTCAGCCAAACTGGAAAAACATCCGTTCATTTTGAGGTCTGAACACCTTTTGAGATCCCAGTGGTGGCCCGGTTGAGACCATTTGCTTTGGCTTTGCTTATTGGGATGATCAACTCCTGTAATTACCACTGGGAAGATCTAGGAAGGATGGAATGATGTTCTTTCCACATTGAGAACTGAATGTACTAATCCTTATGGGGTTAAGGGGATAGAGACAATTCTTGGACACCAAACATATCGTGTTGATTCTTTTTTAAAGGATACCCCACATAATGCAGGATTTTGTCCGTCAAGAGTACATGTCTCTAGATTGACTCCAGACCAGCTCCCACCAACTCAACAAGAGTACTTCAACTTAGTAAGATCATATAGGGTCATGTGATAACTTCTATCTCACCGAAGCTCACCTTTTCCGATGCTAGACAAGAGCTCCCGGTCATGCTGCAGGATCATGAAATGGGCCGAAACCGCTCGACAAAGTCATGGGATCTGCTGCGACACCTGCTTTTCCACACCTCGCCCACATCATGGGTCGATGATGGTCGATGGTCATGTTCCCAAAGATCATGTCCTTCATCAAGTTATGTCAAGTTATGTCAAGTTCCTGTTTATACCGTTGGAAGTTCCTTTGGATTCTTTGCGCTTCATCTACCATCCAAAAGACCCCCACTGTCCGCTACCCGGATGAGAGCGGTGAACCTTGACATCTCTTGGCGTCGACGCTTCGATTCGCAGGGGTCCCGGAGCCGTGCGACCCCATGGTGTTTCGACCCATGGGGTCAACGAAGCATCGTGGGAGTGTCAGACACTCCGAACACGACCTTTGTCAACTGAGAAGTGGATGAAACTGGGCTCTTGGAAGAACATATTCATATGCATATATATATATATATTTATGCATTATCATTATCTCTACAGGGACAAAGCAGGAAAAAGGGATCGTATCGTTTCACAAGCCCTTCTGAACACATCAGACCGGGAAGTGGGAAAAAGAAACACCTGTAGTCATACGGACCATGCTCAAAAAGGCAAATTTTCCACATCCCATGTGATGCGTGCGTACTGGACCTGTATATACTGGACCCCTCATATACTAAGGATGCCTGGCAAAAAATCTGGCAAAACATACATCTGATTCCTGGGAGTTGTATGGATTTATGTAAACCTGGTTTTGCTTGCTCGATGGTTGTATTCTCTGGTTATATATAAATCACTTTCCTGGGATTTTCTATTTCCCTAGTTCCTTGAGAAGATCAAAGTAAACGACCCATTTTGTTGTGAGAACGGTCGCTCAGGTGGCCCATGACTGGATGAGAGGCGGCAGAGGCCCGTGGCCCGAATTCCCCGCCCGATGCGAACACGGCGGGTTCCACGCGCGGACTGGTCCGCGCGGAGCCATGGGGGAGGTAGAAGCGAGAAAGAGCGCAAGAGATACAAAAGAACGACAGATATAGATGTGTCAATGCTATACTCACACTATGAAACCATGTGAAACCAATGTGAAAGCATGTGAAACCAATGAATCATTAAGCACATAAGGATCGCCAACGTTCAGCTCCTGTAAAGGGAAAGGATCGCCAAGATGGGTCACTAGTTTGAACTGAGGGATGTTCAGACGCTTTGTGCAGTGAATGGACACCATTGGTTGACAATAATAATAGACACAACGAAAGCGTGTCCGCTTTCAACAGCCTATACACATACAGTATATGAAAACATATTGAAGATATAATTGATCATGATATGAAGAATGAATGATGCAATATATATTACCCTGGTAGTTCCCATAGTTTGGTTTTGATCCAGTCCACTGGTGTTGAACATCAGGGTCCACTCGCATCCACTCGCCCTCCGACTCCAGTTCTCCAGCATTTGCAGGACACGTCTCCGCGGCGGACATGGCCTCTGGCCCCCGAATGCAGCAGGAGGCTCGTCTCGCACCGGAGGTCCACTCTGACTGGTCTCTTAAAGGTGAGTCAAGAGAGTCTTTTGCTTTCTCAGAAGTGTTATTTTGAACACCCCATTGTAACACCCATCTATAGGAATCAATTGTATATAATGAAGAATTGGAATTGGATCACGCCTCAAAACCATTCCAGAGAGATCTCACCCACACAGGTGTTCGGGGGTATCTGCTCTTTGAGCCAGGCAGATCGGCCGAGTGTCCTGGGTGTGCCTTGGTTGTGAGGCGGAGAAGGAAGCTGGGTTCATACCTGGAACACCAGACATTCCATGCTTTCCGAGTTAGGAATTGGGACTTTCAGAGTCAGTGCGAGGCGTTTCTTTTGTTTTTGCGGGTCAGGATTTGACTCATGGTCCCAGTGCCTGTACCGCATGATCAAATTGTAGTGTTATGAACCCCCGAAGCCAACAACAAAGCCTGTGTCAATTGGAAAGAACCCATCAAAATCATAAATAATTAGTCTATTTGTCTAGAAAAGGATAACAACGGGTGCAGCAAAAAGTGCATAGCTCATGTACAGATAATGAAGTGCAACTTGCAACCAAGCAAATCTGGCTAACTGCATTTGAAAACAAGTACCAATTTTGCTCTCCAGGTTGCTATATAATAAGACTCTTCCTGCTATAATCTTTGTTTAAGGATCATTGTACTTGAGCTTGGGGATGGAACCTCAGCCAGGAAACAGATTTGGATTTCTATAGGACATTTGTGGGAGCCGGCTTACAAACGAACTCTGCCTCTTTCAGGCAAGTTAGGCCTTTCGCACTCACACCCTTCCGCAGTCACCCCCATTTGGAAGACTGGCTGACTGAGGTGGCCCACGGCGAGCACTCTTGGATGACCGGAGGAGATGCGGGAGATGACCGGGAGATGGGGTTATCAAGAACATCCTTGGGGGTGAACGACGAAGTCGGTTGGGCGGAATGCATCAGCAGGGACCGGGCCGGTACCGGGCTCACCAACAAGCACAGCGGTCTGGTTCCCAGTTGGCTTGGAGGTTGGCCGGTTCGACGGCTTCACGGCGAGCCCGGAGCCTGGGAGCGGCTTGGGTGGGAGCCAACGGGTGCTGAAAGAGGACCAATCTAACACATCACCGAGAATTCCCAGAATCGCTGATGGCTGATCATCGCTACCTAGGGTTTTAGGTGGTTAACGCATTAGCATTCAGACAGACCCGCAGATTGTAAATTTTGCTACTGTAGAGTTTGGTGTTGGCATCATTTCTGCTCCATGCTCTCCCCTTCTTCCGCCGCACGAGTGGAGTACTGCAGGACAAGTCTCAGCGGCAGATATGGCCTCTGGGCCAGGGGTGCAGGAGGCGGGCACTGTGCATGTGTTCCATTTGCAGTGGTTGGCACAAACCCTAAGATGTCTCGTAGAGAGGGGTCCATATAAACCACCTGTGAGGGGATACATCTACCTTCAATCCACTACGGCTGATGACTCTATTAAGAAAGACGCTTTTTTTAGAGTAGACTCTTGATTATTTCTTAACTATAGCCTTTCAATTAAGAAATGTGGCTAGCTAGACTCTAAATAAGGTTTCTTATTCTATTTTCTCCCTGTCAAACCTTTTTAGACCATGAAATCGCTCTCCCTCGAGCTCTAAATCGCTCAACCGCATCGCTATGCGCATGGTCTTTGACTTCTTCGACCCGTATCCCCGGATGTTGTATAAGGTTCTATCATGGTATAATGCTCAAGAATCTGAGATGAGGGGAGGGAGGGAGGCTCAAAGTTGAAGGCTCCGATGGCACTTCCCAAGGGTTTCAGACCAGTTTCAGAGGACAGGTGGGGACAGTCTTTTTGAAATAGATTTGAACAAACTGAAGCTTTTGCTCTACGTATATCATGGAAAGGGGTCATAGATGATGTCAAGATTGTCGTTTTACACCTGCACCCTGGAAATCCAAGGGTCATTGTCTAAAAGCGCATGTTTGATCGCAAGATTAAAGTAAGTTCTGAACCTTTTTGGAAGCAGTGGAACCACGGATGTTGTATAATGTTCTATCATGGTACAAAGCCCAAGAACCTGAGATGAGGGGAGGGAGGGAGGGAAGGAGGGAGGGAGGCTCAAAGTTGAAGGCTGCGATGGGACTTCTAAAGGGTTTCAGACCAGTTTCAGACCACCCGAGAGGACAGGTTGGGGACAGTTTTTTTGAAACAGATTTAAGCAAACTGAAGCTTTTGCTCTACGTACGTATCATGGAAAGGGGTCATAGATGATGTCAAGTTTGTCTTAATTAAGGGGTCGCGCTCTTTCTCTTTCTCTCTCTCTCTTTCTTTCTCTTTGTGGCAGGGCCCTTCAATTTAGAACTTAATACGTATTTAAAAGAAAACGTTTTTCTTGACAACAATAGAGTCTAGAAAACTAACTTATTTTTCCGAAAAAATAGAGTCTACTTTCTTGTTTAAGAATATTTCTTAACACAAATAGAAGCCGTACATATAATTACCGGGAGCCTTTCAGAGTAGCAGTCCAAACTTCCCAAGTAACAATTTTAAGAGCCCATTAGAACAATTTCTCCATAGGTTTTGAGCCATAGCCAAATGATGCCAAATGTATAGTAGCTAAGCCTAGTAGCGTCCTTGTTCCGTTCGTAGCCATGCCAGGAGCCCTGTTCGTAGCGTCGCTCCTCCGTCCAGGTGACTGTGATGGACGCCAATCCCTTCGCGCCCGCCGCGGATGCTCGGAGCAACGTCTTGGCGGCGATAGCACTCCTTGGGATAGTTCACAAATGGGCCATAGCTCTGTGCATCTCTGTGCTAGGATGGCCTCTAAGAGCGATGGCCTCCAACCTAAGAGCGATTATTTGGTCCGTCCCCTTGCCCTTCCAGCCCGGCCCCACGAGTGGGGCAGGTGGTCAGTTAGGGTGTTTTTCTTTGTTTGTTCAATCTCTTTTTTTTGTATAAATACTCAACGTGAATGAGAAAAGACGCGTGCAACTGTGCAACCACAGGGTGACACAACCGTTTTAAGGCACGGAAGGAACTCTACGTGTTAAGTTGCTTGAGTTTAGTGTTTTTGCTCGCAAGAAGTGTTTTGCACCAATGTTATTTGGAAAAAATGAAAGAAGTGTTTTGGTGTTTCCGTGGCCAAGTCTTAAAACACTTGCGCAACCAATAAGCATTCGACCCTTCTTCTCACCCTCAATACCCTGAAACACTACAGCCATCAGTCACAAATTCCCAAAGTGCAAGCACCAAATGCCGTTTTTTAACAAAAAATGCAAGCAGTCTCACTGATCCAAAGATCAGCTCTTCTTGAACAGCTTTCGCAGGTCTTCAAACAAACTTCCTACAAAGTGTTTACAAAGTTTTGGATCTTTACAAAAAATTTACAAAGTTTTGGAATTACAATTTTTTTACCGAGTTTTTGCATTACAAAGTTTTAACAAAGTCTACAAAGTTTAAAGATAGAAATAACAAACTTCACAAAGTTTTGGAAACTTACAGTACATTGAATTTTACAAAACTTTGGAACTACGAAGTTTTTACAAAGTATTGAACCTTTAGATATCTGAACAAAGCTTTGGACATTTATCAAGCTTTGAACAAGTTTTGGAATTTTACAAAGTTGCTACCAAGTTATTGAGTTTGAAAGTTTTTACAAAGCTTTTACAAAAGTGTTTGATGCTTACAAACTTTCTACAAAGTTTCGTTTTTTTTCAATCTGTTTCAAAACTTTGTAAACTTTATTATTTGAAAACTTTGCAAAACGTTGTAAACTTTGTAAGAACTTTGTGAACTTTGTAAATACTTTGTAAACTTTGTAAAAGCTGTGTAAGCTTTGTAGAAACTTTGGTGAAATTCTAAAACTTTGTAAACTTTCAAAACTCTGCAACAACTGTGTAAAGATTGAACAAATTTTGCAAACTTTGTCAAAACTTCGTAAACTGTTGTTAAGATTGTAAACTTTTTAAACACTGAAACACTTTAAACTTCGTAAACCTTTGTAAAAAAATTGTACACTTTGTAAAACTGTGTAAAAAACTGCGAAAACTTGTAAACTTTGTCAAAACTTTGTGAACTTTGTCAAAAAGTTTGCAAACATTGCAAACTTTGTACACTTTCTACTAACATTTTGTAAACTTTGTAAACAACTTTTAGATGTTGTAGGCCTTCGTAAACTCTTTTTAAAAAAAGACCGTTATAAACTTCGTAGCACTTTGCAAACTTTGTAAAACGTTTTTAAACTTCGTAAACTTTGTCAAAGCATTGTAAACATTTTGAAAGACCTTGTGAACGTTGTAAAAAATTTGTAAACTTTGAACACTTTGTAAATTTCGTCAAAACTTTGTACAAATTGTGAAGCTGTACAAACTTTGTAAAAACTTTGTAAAATGTAGAAAGAAACTTTGTAAACTTTGCAAATAAATAAACTATCAAAACTTTGTAATCGTTGTCAAAACTTTGTAAACTTTGTCGAAACTCTGTAAACTTTGCAAAACTTCGTAAACTTGGCAAAATCTTTGTGAACTTTCCAAAATCTTCAAAACTTTGTAAACTTTGTAAAAACTTTGTAAATTTGTGTAACGAAAGGCAAATGTCGCAAACTTTGTCAGAACGTTGTAAACTTTGTAAAAACTTTGTAAACTTTGTAAAAACTGTGTAACTATGTAAACGTTGTAAAAACTTTGTAAAACTTTGTAAAGTTCTGTGAAAGAAGTGTTTTTGCACAATTTTTTGCTTGAAAAGAAGTGTTTTTCATGTCATTTGTTGTAAACATAAGTGTTTTTCACCAGCCATTTGCAAACTTTGTAAAAACTTTGTAAAAACCTTGTAAACTGTGTAAAAACTTTGTAAACTTTGTAAAAACTTTGTAAACTTTGTAAAAACCTTGTAAACTTTGTAAAAACTTTGTAAAAACCTTGTAAACTGTGTAAAAACTTTGTAAACTTTGTAAAAACCTTGTAAACTGTAAAAACTTTGTAAACTTTGTAAAAACTTTGTAAACTTTGTAAAAACTTTGTAAACTTGAAAAAGCTGTTGTAAACTTTGTAAAAACGTTGCACAACTTTGTAAACTTTGTAAAAACTTTGAAAACTTTGTAAAGACTTTGTGAGACTTTGTAGACTCTGTAAAAATTGAAAAACTGTGTAAATTCCGAACTTTGCAAGAACTTTGTCAAATTCCAAAGCTTTCTAAAATCGTTGTAAACTTTCAGTACTGTAAACTGTATAAACTTTGCAAATTTTGTGAAAGCTTTGTAAACTATGCAAATACTGTGTAAAGTTTGCAAATGTTTGTACACTTTGAAAAAAACTCCATGTAAAATTGTAAAATTTGCAATCTTTGTAAAGATTTTATAAACTTTGTACAAGCTTTGTAAACTTTCAAAACTTTGCAAAACTGTGTAAACTTTGTAAAAACTTTGTCAACATTGCAGCAACATTGTAAAACTTTCAATACGTCTTTAATTGATTTTTTAATGGTGAAACCTTTGTAAACTGGGTAAACTTTGGAAATTGTTCAAAACTTTGTAAACTGTGTCAAAATATTGTAAACTTTGTAAAAATTTGTAAACTTGGTAAACGGTTGTAAAACTTTGCAAACTTCATAAAATCTGTGTAAAACTTTGTAAACTTTGTACCAACTTTGAAAGCTTTGTAAAAACGTAGTGAACTTGGTATAAACTTGGTAAACTTTGTCAACACTTTGTAGACTTTGTAAAACATTTTTAAACTTTGTCAAACTTTGTAAGCTTTGTCAACCTTTAAACTTGTAAAACTGTGTAAGAACTTGGCAAAACTTTATTAAGATGTTGTAAAATTCGCAAACTTTGTAAAAAGGTTTACAAACCTTTTACGAAGTTTTGGAGTTCTTCAAATTATTCTTCAAAGTTAGAGCAACGTTTTACACAGTTTTCAGAACGTTTACAAAGTCTTGAATTTTTACAAAGTTATACAAAGTTTACAAAACTTTCACAAAGTCTTAAAAATTTGTACAAAGTTTGCAACTTTTGCAAAGAGTTGACAGAGTTGTTGAATTACAAACAAATTTACAAAGGTTTACAACGTCTACAAAGCTTTTACCATGGCCGTTCACTCACCACTCACGAGACAAACAAACCTATGAAATAGTCCTTTGGGTCTCGTATGTTGCCACTAACAACGCAAAAAAAAACAAGACGTGTTTTATACCCTCTCTTAGTTCTGAACAACCAATTCTTCAGAGGTCCGCAAGGGTCAAAAACACTTCTTCTGCGCTAATTCCCCCGAAACAACGAACGACGGTCCCCAAGCAACTTAACAACTCTACGAGTGGATGACTAAATTCAACTACGCTCACTCAGGAATCGGACGGCAGTGCAAAAAGAGTCTACCATTAATACATGTTTGGTATGTTTTGGGTTGGTTTTACTCTTTTTTATATTTTATTGATTGTTCTATATGTATATATATAATGTGCAGGAGGGATATTTACCACTTGTCATCCACCCAAGGCTAATGTGTGGAGGAGACAGAATGTGGATTTTGCCGCAATGGGATGTTGTTTGGTGTTGAAGACGTACTTGTCCCACATTGTGTTTTCTTGAGGGAATGTAAATGCCTCTTCAACATGTCATTATAAAAGAGATATCCAAATGGCAACTTGCATAATTGATTGTTACTCTTTACTGGCCTGACTATTCCTTTTTGTCCAGGTGAATGTGAACGTTTCAGATGATAAATGGCACTGCGTAGATAGACACATCAAATAAACCACTGGACATATTGTTGTTTGAATTAACAGAACGTGCATGAGCAAGGCTTGTCAATCGTTTCGGAGGCAGATCATTCGCACCTAGCAAGGGAAGGACCAAGAAGATGTTCACACATGTTGTTTACAGCAAGACAATAGCCCAACTTTTGCAACATCGCATTCACAGACAAGGTAGCGGCTGGCCTGAGGAAACTTGCAAAGTGCCGGCCACAGTTCCGGATAGTTAGGTTGCAAAACTTTGAGTATCTGAAGTAGCACCAATCGAGGGGTTCCAAGTGCGGAAGTTGCTTCTAAGGAAAGAGACCCTGCACAACAGATCGTTCACCAGCCCGAAGTGGTGCGGGAGGCGTGCGGAAGTTCTTCGGCCGTTGCCTCATGGGGCCCTTCCTGCTTGTTGAATGGACCTCCAAACATGATCAAGAACAAGGGGACAGGACTTTATTTTTGAACGGTTGGTTTTGGTCGTGGTTTTGGTGAAAAAACCATGAATGTTCTGCAAGAAAACATCAAATGAACACCCTGCCAGCTTTGTCGCTTCGTCCAGGTGAACGTGAGCGTTTCAAGTGATGCAAATCCCTTTGCGTCCGCACCAGTTGCTTGGATGTGTTGGCTGAACATCTCGTGCAAACCAACTGTCAAAGTTATTGTGTGGCTAGTGTTTGATGTGTGCGTAAAGCAAGGGACAAATGCAGGACGAAGGCGATGGGACAACGCAATTGCTCCCAAAATAGAATCCTTGCAATCCCTCCATGTGCACATATTCTGAATTTGTTTGATTTCATTTATATATACAGTATATATATATATCACATCATATGTATAGATTGCGGATGCTTTACATTGTTTTGTTCATTTTTCTTTCCGCTTCATGGTCTTTGCATTCCAGATTCCACTGTGCCGCTAGTTTGCTGTATGTACTGCAGCAATAGCAGCGCACGGCCCTTCATAGGTACCTGTCATTCACCCATGGTTGCAAAACTTTAAGTTCAAGGATGCTTTGCTGTGCCCGACTGCTTTTACAGTATGCGTATTTGGTACTTACAAACACCCCATGTCAGTTTCATTTTAATAATGGATGTTGTGCAAAAAGGGTGCCAACGCTTTGAAGAGTTTTAGGGTCTTTTGAATGCTTTTACTCTAGTGTTCTTGTTTAGCTTGGAGTACCCGTGTGTCAGGTGCAGCTGAAGAATGGTAAATGTCCCCACAAGAAGCCAGGAAAGGAGAAATCTGAATCCCAATATGTATGATTGGCATCGGCCTTTCTTCGCTCAGGTGAACATAAAAGCTTCGGATGATGCAAATCCATTTGCGTCCGCGCCAGTTGCTTGGATGACAACCCAAACAGCACTGTGTGGCTCTTTTGTGGGGGAGAACCAGCATTGCCCCTGAATCCGTGTGAGATGAGTTGCTGATTGGGTTGTTTGCATATATACATATATGATGTGCTATTTCCTTTGTAACTATCAACATTATTGCTTCCGTCCAGCTGACAACACTACTAGTCAACAGTACTACACTTAGCAGACAACCAGTTGTTTTTTTTTGAAAGTTCCATGAATCCACAATGACTACTACACACGAATGCATATAATGACTGATGGTTCAACGTGATGTAGTTATGATCTAGTTGAAGCGTGGCACTCTTTGGCACTGGCTGCATGCACTTTATGCACTTTTAGGCGGGCAAATGCTAAGCAGTGCAGCCTTTGTTTCTTTGTGAAACTGCTTTTGAGCCCATTTGTTCAGGAAACAGTGAATGCTTCAGATGCTGCAAATCCCTTTGCTTCCGCACCGGTTGCTTGGATGTGTAACAGCACTGTATTGAAACAAAACAGGCAACTTTCAAGGGGTTCATGTCCATGGAAGGCAACGTATGTCAATGATGTCAGTCATGATATTGTTTACTTATTGCGGTTGTGTGTACTCTGTGTTCACTGGCAGCAGTTGCTTTTTGTCGCGCAGCAAGTATGACATAGCACCTTTGCGAAAGAAAGATGAACAGCCGAACAACCCCAAAACTGGGGTCACTCAGAAATTACTTCTTATAGTCTCATAGCCACCAATGGGATACAGACTTAAACATACATTTATACAGTTTATTTGTTTCATGATGTTTACTATTTGCTGGAAGCTCAAGAAACTTGTTCAGCCAAGCGCTTCAGTTCAACTGGCTGCAAAACTCGTGCAATCGGGGGACGGGCCTATGGATCGCTTTACGGACTAGTGACTAGTTTGAGAGCGGGCAGTTGTGGCAGTGCGCTTTTTGGTGTCTAATGAGTGTGGCCCAACTATCAGCTCTAATGGCAGCAGGAAAGACCTGGAGTTGCTCACAACTACTAGGTATGATTTTGTGTGGACTACGCTATGTCCATTGTGTTTTGAACCCCAAACAACGCAAAGCACCTCTGCACCATTCTGCACCCCTGTGTGCCTTCACAGAGTATGCAACAAAACAGTCTGACTGCTCAGTCGCTGCAGCCAACTCCTGCGGTGTTGCATGTGCTCGAGCAGTCGAAGCTGAGTGACTAGTGGGAGAATGACATGCTGAATGACTAGTGACTAGTGCCCCGCAAGACTTCACAGTCATTCAGCATGTCATTCTACCAACATCGAGTCATGTGCCCCGCGGCGCTCCCCCAACACTTCGCAGCAGCAACTCACAGACATATATTGTGAGGAGAAGGAATGTCCTGATTTGAAGCTTGCTGTCCAGGTTGATGCTTCAGATGCCGCAATCCCTTTTTGGTGCGCGCCGGTTGCTTGGAAGGCACCAGTACCAGTGGAGATGAACATCTTAATCCGAGAGCAGTTCGCCGACAGGGGGCTGTGCGGATATTTTTGGTAGACAAAGCAACCAGAGGAAGAACTACTTGGTAAGCGTCAAAAACATTTTTCATTGGAGAGAGCGTGTTTTCAAAAGTTATTTTAAACAAGCATGTCAAAAAAAGTCAACGTAGTAGTCAGTCTCAAAAGTCAAAGTCAACAAACAGTCAAATCAGAAAGTTTCAGACAGTCAAAAAAGTCAATTGGCCCAGATCCGACTTTTTTGACCGTTTTGTCCGACTTTTTTGTTTATACGGTTTCCGACCTTTTTTTTTTTTTTTACTTTTTCGAGTTGTTTCCCTTTGTTTCTTAATGTTGACTTTTATTTGCCTTTGTTATGTTTTTATATTTATATATGTATACTGTATTTTTTGAGTTCTTTTTTGACATGTATCCGGGCTTTTTTGTGACTCTGACTTTTTCATTTGACTTCTTCTTGACATGTTTTCGACTTTTTTAAATCAATGATTCTGGTGTTACCATATTATGATCTTCATCGTTTAATCCAAAGCAAATGCATCAGATCCGCAGAATGGTGGGGGCGTTTTGTGTTTGTACTATAGCTGCATTACATCGAGTCTTTTTTAAATAGTAATTTGTTGATTCATTGAGCCATGGGTGAAAGCAACATCTGCAAAACATTGAGGGAATTGGGTTTCTGATTCCACCCTAAGACTCAGACAGTTAGTTGGAGCCAGGAAACACAACGAAGACAGTAAAATCCCGTAAAGGTTCATTTCAGAAGCAAGGCAAATGGGTACAAGAAAGAGAAGGGAATGGTGGGAATTGGCATGGAATTGGAATGGTCCTTGACATGCTCATTTGCTTTTGAGCGTTTGACAAAAAATGTACCTAGAATATGTTCTTGCATTCAAGATTCTAGATTTTCGGAAACAAACACTGTTCTTGGGGATGATTCCAAGGAAAATGACAAGAACATAGATTAAATGACGGAAACAAAGTACCTGGAGTACCATTGAGTCGAACGTCGAGGGTATCAATGTAGTTGTCCGTGTTGCAGGAGCTGGGGCTTTAACAGCTGCTACTTAGGACCTTTTCACGACACATGCTGTTTAACATATACGTTTATTGCACTGTTGAATTGTTATATATACATATTTATATATATTTAGGCCCAATTCATCCTAAGTACCGCTGAGCCGAAGACGCATAATGTTAATGTAGTTGTCGGTGGTGCACCAGCTGGTGGTTTGGCGTAATTGAATGTGTTACTATAAAAACAAAGTATGAAATTGAACAATAATATATATATATATACATATGTATTAGTATTAAAATTGAATTTAAACCTTTTTTATTGCAAAGGTATTGTTTGCAAAGATGGTACTGATGGAGTTAATACCTGGAAAATACATGTGCTTATCATACATTAGTTTCTGGACAAGCTATGATATGGTTGGTGATGTCTTCTTTCGGTGGTTTGTAGGGGCAGTAGTTCTACCTCATGTGGTAAAGTCGCTAGTCCAAGAATCTTTGCTAAAGCTAGCCACGTACCTGAAATAACTGAAATCTTTATTGAGGTTGCATATTATAAAGTGAGCAAGCCTGTAGATTTGTATCAAAGAAGATCAGACTAATTGTCTCACAGGAACAATCATGTTTCCTGCACGCTCAGACGTTTGCAGACGATGCGTTTGGGCAAAACTGAACATAGAATCCAAAAAATATGAAAAAACATGTTGCAAGAGCTACTATGCAAGTTACCAAATTCATACATACTCAGCTCAGTCCTTTTCATCCCAGACTTTCCACAACAATATAAAGAGCTGACAGGAGTTAGGGTGACTTGCAAGCATGTCGGTCTTATTTTGCATGTGAAGTGCACTAGTTGAATGTAACTTATACATCATATCCCTTGCAACTCAAGGATTGTTGCATATATATATATGTAACTGTAAATGGGTGTATTAACTTGTTTAAGAGAGTCACACATTGTGTTTAGCAGTATAGCCTCGTATATCGTATACCTGTCAAAAATTTGGTTGTATTTCTCAGTATTTGGAGACAGGAACAGACAGTGCGAGTAAGTTTAATGGAAAACTGTTCTTAGCATTGCAGAACCATTTGAATTGCTTGATATGTTGACAGATACAGATGCGTTTGGAAGAGGTGTTAAAGCTCGCTTATTACAATCAACTACTGTATATCCTGCTCAGAATGGTCAAATTGATTTTTTTTTGACACCATCACCAGAGTTCAGATTCAATTGCACAGTATGATGCAGCATCAAATTATTAGTAGGTGAACACGATACTAAAGAACTATGGAACATATAGCAAAACCTGTACCACTATGTCACTATCTCTGGTTTATCCGCAGAGCGACAAGAATTCTGCTACTGATGTAGAAGGTAATTTGCTAAAGACGACGGAATGACGACAGATCCTTCCATTCTAAAAATTTGTTTTGGAGTTTTGTACTTTTCATGCACACGGACCATGCATAGGACTTGGGGAAAGTAAATGCCCTCTAAACAAGTCATAGATGCAAGATTGCAATGGCAAATTTAATGATGGACAGCTTTTCTTGCCCGGAAAACCACATTTGACATCATTTGACCGTCCTCTTCTCATCCAGGTAAACGTGCAAGCATCCGATGACGCAAATCCATTTGCTTCGGCACCAGTTGCTTGGATGACATGCTGGAACTGCGTCAACCCATGCACAACACTCTCATGCAAACCACTGTCAGAATGGGTGTTTGTAGGAATAGGGAGACTCCCCAACCAATGGGTTTTATATAGTCTTGGTGTGCTCGTTGTTGTTTTTCTCTTTTTGTTAATGGGTGGGGCCGGGGCGGGGTTAACCTAAAGCAATGCATGTTTTGTTTGCATTTCTCTTTAATGTGATTTGTAAACACACACACACACATGATCGCACATGTCTTTTCGGAGGAACCGACAGTGAATGCGGAGAACGACGCCGCAAAGGAGCCCTCGGGATCGGCGCCAGTTGCTTGGCATTGCAGGGCGCTTGGTGGGCCTTGAGAGGGGGTCCCCTTAAGCCACGGCCCATGAAAGACTTATCATACACACAAGGGCCCACCACTTGCATCTGTTTTCGCCCCTGGCGGCGAACACATCGCGTTTAAACCGACCCTCTCGGCAAAGCACGAGAAGATGGGTCCTGTGGGTCCTGGGTGCGAAGTCTTGGCCCTTTGCCCGTTGGACCATTGCGCACAGATGAAAGCCACAAACATGTGGGTGTGGGAAGTGACTGGACCTACTTGTTCACTGGACCTACTTGGGATGCAAAGGTGTCTCACGAACCATCTGTGTGCAATGATTTCGGCCAGTTTTTGCTGCAGTGATGTGTTGAAAGATAAACATTAATTTAGCATCCCAATCCGTTTGATTATTCGTTTCTGCATGCGGGATTTGCCCAGGTGAATGTAGATGATCCGAATGGTGCAAATGACACTGAGTCCCCACCAGTTGCTTGGATCATCAGTGGGGGGGTGAAGAGTGGCTCAACTCGTGCACCACAACCGCATCTGCACACGGTCGAATCGGCATGTGTTCATGCCATTTGTTTGATGCGGTCGGACCTGCAAGGAGTTGTGAGGAGGACAGTCACAGCACCAGGACAGTCCTGTTGCAACTCTCCAACTCTCCGCGTACTCCGCACGGAGACGAAGCTGCTCGGTCCACCTCGTTCGCGTCCCTCCGCCGGAAGCGAAACGAACGGTCCGGGACCCGTGCGCCGAAGCGAACTGGGACGGACGAACGGTCGATTCGGGTCCTGGCGCAGTCGATGAGACTGTCGATCCCGTCCGGTCCCAAGCGACCGGTCGTTTAGGGACCCGGTTTTTCCGGGTGGGGGTTTTGGTTGCTGTCGGGTTTTTTTCCGCTTGGTTTTGAAGACCTATATACACGGCTTTTGAGGAAAGCAAAAGCCCTTTCAACATGGCAACTTGCATGACTGACTGCTGCTTTTGACTGGCCAGACTATTTTTGTGTCCAGGTGAACGTGGAAGCAACATGGTGCATGCCGGGCTTATCGGGGTGTCAATTGTTGAGATAAATCACCTGCACCGTTCGCAACTCAGGGAAGGACCAAGAAAATGGCCACACAACGTTCAGCGGCTGACCATGGGCATTTCATTTCATTTTTCTTTGTTCCTTCTAGCGGAAACGACCTGAGAACACGTATGTGACAGTATGTGCTATATCTTGTTATCACCGCCAATGGCCACAGAGAGTCCACAACCTACAAAATCCTACAAACCTGTGCATAGCTGTATATCTCTGAAATTGCACCAATCAAGTGGTTCCAGGTCCGGACGTTTCCACGAAAGCAAGGGCAGTCGAGATTCACAAACCCTTCATTTGCCAAGAGCAGTTCGGACCGTGGTGTCCGTCTCTGGTGCTGTGGGAGGTGTTTTTCTTCGGACGCGGTCACAGAGCATCAGGATGGATCCGCGTCTCGTTTCGGTTGGTTTGGGGTTTCGTTCACGTGGTTCCAGAACCTTTCTCAGAACATCGATCAACATGGGACCAACTTGTATAACTGGAGCAGTTGGAAAAGGGGGCAAGTGAAGGAATTAGATGATGTTCCTGCAAGTGAAGACCCTTACTGCCACTTAGGTGAATGTGAACGCTTCAAGTGACGCAAATCCCTTTGCGCCTGCACCTGTTGCTTGGATTGTATATATGTATAATGTCCGTCACGGTTGGCTGAACATCTCGTGCAAACCAACTATCAAAGTTATTGTGTGGTTAATTTTTTTTTATATTCACGCAACTGCACCCAAAAGAGCACCCATGCAATCCCAGCATGTGCAGTCCCGGCCTGCACAGATTCTGAGTTTGTTTTACTTTTTTTACACTCTATATGTCTTACACTTACAAGCAGCACGTTTGTGGATGCTTGACTTACTGTATTTCATTATTCTTTTTCTTCCTGGTCTTGTATTGCAGATATCACAGAGCTGCTAGTTTTAATGTTAATGTACCATTCACAGGTACTTGTCATTCATTGTTGCCAAACTTTGAGTTCAACTATGCTTTTCCTGGCGGTTCTTGTGAGTATTTGCGAGTGACAAGTAAGTGACAATTACGCTGCGCACTAGGACTGTTTCATTTACATGGTAGACGAGTTATACATAGGCATATATAATTATATATATGGGTGTGTATTAAACCAGGGAGGCCTCCTAAAGACCCTGGAAGAAGGAAAATAGACCAACACCCATTGGTTCGGTGTCTACCTATTAGAATACACACCCATATGTATGATTGTTGTTGTTCTTTCTTCTGCAAGCTTGCTGGCTATCCTGATTGGTTCGCTCAGGTGAACATAAAAGCTTCTGATGATGCAAATCCATTTGCGTCCGCTCCAGTTGCTTGGATGACAAATGTGTGTGTGTGTGTAACCCTTGGAATCATAGGGATCCTTTTGGATTTGCTCGGCTTGCTTTCTTACTTTCTAACTGTTGTTCCAGCAGGGGGGGCTGGTTGTTCATGCAAGTACCAGCCCAACGAAGAGGCTTGCATTGAACACTGATATCGGTGGGGACGCTCACCGACGTACCTGCATTTTTCCTTTTTCCGAATGGCATGAGGCTAAGCCTAGAACCTCACTTGCTGCAGACATGAGCGATCGTCGTCATTTCGACCTGTTCGTCGCCTTCGACCTTGCGCTTTTGGCCTCACTTCCTCTTCCAGACCCCCAGGCTCCGATGGTCCTTACTGGTACTCTGAGGAAATGGAACCCTAGGCCGGCGTGTGGCACCGCTGTCAAGTCAGTACGCATATCCATGAGTGTGTTTGGCTTCGTGCCAACCCGGGATGAGCCCGCAGAGTGCCTCCCGTGGACCCGTCGAACGGGTGTACGTCGTTATCTCCCCTGCTCGGAGATGCACGTGTCTCATCTTTGGAACTCCAAGCTGGCTCATGTCCTTACGTGACCGCAGCGGTCAAAGCAGCCAGCCATTTCGGCAAGGCACAAGGTGACCACAGCGGTCAAAGCCAGTTTAAGGTTCATTGGAACCTGTGGAGAACCTAGCTCCCCTCTCCCCCTGCCCTCCCTTTCTCTCTTTACTTTCTGGGGTTTTCCTGAATGTAATACTCAGGATCTCCCCCTTTCCTTCTTTGGTGTGTCCCTGGACGATTGTTCGTAGCTGGGAACACATTCCCTTCCTCTCCCTTTCTCTCCCTCTCTCTTTCTTTCCTTCCTGGTGTCCCTGGATGCCTCGTCAGCTGGGAGCCCTTCTTTTTGGTGTGTCCCTGGACGCCTGTGTCGTAGCTGGGAGCACCTTTGTCTCCTTCTTTCTTTCCCTCTCTTTTCTTCCTCCCCCTGCCCCCTCTTTCCTCGCGCGCGACGTGTTTACAAGCAAACTAGGCTTCTGCAACAGGTTTTTCTAATGAGGTTTGGTTTGTCATCGGCTTGTTCCCGTTCATTTGGTTCCCCTTTCATCGCCCCCACAGACGGTTTTTCCTCTTTTCTTTCATGTCTTTCTGTCTTCATGTCTCTTCATCCTCATTCTTTCTTTCTCTTGCGCGCACTATCGTCCGGACCTTAGTTTGTACACATACACGCACGCGTACTTTACTTACAGCGAGGTTCAGGTGGCCCAGGTTCGTTACAATGAGGTTTGGCTCATCGGTTGTCCCTCTTCACTTGGTTCTTTTTCATCGGCAACCACACACAACTTTGTCTGTCTTGTCCTTCTCATTTTCATCTGTCCCTTTTGCGTGCACATGTGCCTACCTCCTTTCCGGGCAGGATGGAGGTCACACATGCCTCCCTTCGGGGAGGCGTGTGTGTGTAACCCTTGGAATCATAGGGATCCTTTTGGATTTGCTCGGCTTGCTTTCTTACTTTCTAACTGTTGTTCCAGCAGGGGGGCTGGTTGTTCATGCAAGTACCAGCCCAACGAAGAGGCTTGCATTGAACACTGATATCGGTGGGGACGCTCACCGACGTACCTGCATTTTTCCTTTTCCGAATGGCATGAGGCTAAGCCTAGAACCTCACTTGCTGCAGACATGAGCGATCGTCGTCATTTCGACCTGTTCGTCGCCTTCGACCTTGCGCTTTTGGCCTCACTTCCTCTTCCAGACCCCCAGGCTCCGATGGTCCTTACTGGTACTCTGAGGAAATGGAACCCTAGGCCGGCGTGTGGCCCCGCTGTCAAGTCAGTACGCATATCCATGAGTGTGTTATTTGGCTGGTGGTCAGAAGTCCCAAACCATGACCACAGCAGTTATTCACATTCTTGCTTCCATCGATTGGTCCGGTGCACATTGCACAAGTCGCGGACAGACAAAGCTACTTGAAATGCAGTCGATTCATCCACTCCACACACAATTGCATACGATCACTGATGGTTCAACTTGAAAACCGTGGCAATGCTTCCAGATTCGCCCTAAATGCCAATCCGCTCTTCAATGGATGCGCTTGCTGTATGATTCATGGACGATTAGGAAGTAGATGATGTGTCCATAAGAAACTAGAATGAGGTTCTAGGCGGGCAAATCATAACTTGTACGATTGACAGCCTTTGTTTCTTCGTGAACCTGCTCATGAGTCATGAGTCCCTTTTTCAGGTAACCTTGAGTGCTTCAGATGCCGCAAATCCCTTTGCTTCCGAACCGGTTGCTTGGATTGGAACCAGCACGCACTGTAGCGGGCCACATTGAAGCAAAGATTTTGGGGTGAATGTTCATGTACATGGAAGGCATCGGATGTTAATGATGTCAGTCACGTTATTGTTTACTTCTTGCCTTGTTGTGCATGCTCACTGGCAGCAGTTGCTTTTGTCTTGCAGCACGTATGACATAGCACCTTTGCGAAAGAAAGATGAACAACCAAACAACCGAACGAACTGTTCACTCAGAAACTACTCCTCATAGCCATCGATGGAGTAAAGACAAACATGTAGTTCAAATTTGATGATTCCAATGATGTTTACTATTTGCTGGATGCTCAACAAGCTTGTTTAGCCAAGCGCTTCAGCTCAGCTGACTGCATTTTGTGCAATCGGGGGAAGCACCAATGGATGCGCTTTACAACACTAGCTTGGCGTTTACAACACTATTTTCGTGTCTAAAGAGTGTGGGCCAGCTCTAACGACAACAGGAAAGACCTGGAGCTGCCCACAACTACTATCAACACAGTTGATCGGTGGGTTCTATTTTTGTGTGGACGATGCGATGTGGATATATTACCTTGCTGGGAGGTTTGTTGTGCGTGACTGTTTTGAGCCCAAAACAACACACGATAGGACACTTTTGCAACCCGTTGTGCCTTCACAGAGTATGCACTGTGTGAGTCTCACTGCTCAGTCGCTTGCTGTTGGAGCATCTCCTAGAGCAGGGAACTGAAGCTGAGTGACTAGTGAGAGAATCACATGCTGAATGACCAGTGGCCTGCAAGACTTCACAGCAACTACTCACAAACATACATTGTGAGGAGAAGGATGCCCTGACTTGAGCCTGCTGTCCAGGCGGATGCTTCAGGTGCTGCAATCCCTTTTTGGTGTGCCCCAGTTCCTTGGAAGGCACCAGTGCGGGTGGAGATGAACATCTCAATCTGAGAGCAGTTCATCGACAGGGGTTGTATGTTCGTTAGAAGAGACACTCACGTCTAATTGAGGAACCAGTTGCGACAGATGCTGCAAATCCCTTGGATTCAGCACCAGTGGCTTGGATGCAGTTGCGCTTCCGTATCCAAGTCACACTGAAACTTTGACATCGCGCAAAACAATGCAAAACAAACAAGTCTGCGTTTGTTCATGCCTACAAGTATTTTTTGATGCAAAGGGCTTTGTATGAATGAATACAACAGTTATCCTGTTGCTAATCAGTTCGCCCGCACTTAGTGAAACATGTCCTTTGCTCTGAAAGCTGCGTTCGAACTTGTTGAAGTTTGACAGCTTGGTTGGTCTTTGTTCAAACTCAGAGTATTTTGTTGTTGCCTTGCAAGGTCAATGTGGGGTGAGACCGGAAGTGGATTTTGATGCAAGGGAATGGTGTTTGTTGTTGAAGAACCATGCCTTTAGGGGTAAAAGCTACTTCAACATTTCATGGAAGAGAGATCCAAATGGCAAGTTTGGTTGACTGCTGCATTTTTACTGGCCTGACTATATATTCCTTTTTGTCCAGGTGAATTTGAAAGCTTCAGATGATAAAAGGCACTGTGTAGATAGAAGCACCAAGTAAGCCATTGGCATCCATTGGCAATATTTGTTCGAGTTGCGACAAACAGTTAAACATTAATCATGCATAGAACACGGGGCGTCAACCGCTTAGAGGCAAATCACCTACACCTAGCCAGAGAAGGACGAAGAAAATGTCCACACAACGTCCAGCAAAACGTTGCATGTCATTCCTTCTCCAATGTGCCGTTTGCAACACGATTTGAATAACCCCCTTCTTTTTCGACATAGTGGCTGACCTGAGGACGCTTGACAAGTACCCCATGGCCACATTTTTTCGAAAGCCTGAAGTTGCGCCAATCAAAGTCAATCAAGGGGTTCCAAGTCCGGAAGTTGCTACTAAGGGAAAGAGATCCCACACAACCGTTTGTTCCCGATTTGTTCCCCACAGTTCCGCTTCATTTTTTGGGGGGCACATTTTGGAACACCTAGTTTTGGGCATGTGGAACCATGAATTGCTGCCTTTGTCCAGGTGAATGTGAAAGCTGCTGCAAGTGATGCAAATCCCTTCGCATCCGCACCAGTTGCTTGGATTGCACGCGTCCCGGTTGGCTGAACATCTCGCGCAGACCAAATGCCGCTTTTAGGCGTCGGTAGCGCTTTGTGGGACACTGTATGTGTGCATAAATAAAGTAAGGATCAAAAGAAGGATCAAGAGGCAATCCCAACATGCGTAGTCCCTGCTGCACTGATTCTGAATTTGTGTTGCTTCACCAATACGTTGTTTATTGGCAGATGTGGGGATGCTTTGCTATGTTCATTTCATTGTTCTTTCACC